AAGCCTTTCCAAGATTTCAGCTTATATACTAAACGTACGGTCTATACGAGTATACTCACAAGGTTCCTACAGGTTATTTTTCTCAGCTGGGAATAAAAAGAAAAGATAAAAGATTTTTGCTATCTGTTGCCGCTAAGGCAAAGGAAAACTTAGTAAACTTGGGAAACGGAGGTGATGGTATCGGTCGTAAACATAAAAAAAAACTGGAAATGATGATAACATATCGTTATAAAAGTTTACGGCCTGGCATGGCTATCCAAAGTGCTGAAACGTTCTAAAATAACCCATCCAAAGATTTATTTTTGAATGACTGCGATTATTATGATTTAACGTTTCATGAAACTAAAAACTGGAGCAAAGTTTAATCTATCTCAGAACACAATAAATCAACTAAAAATAATAGTGCCATCTGTTTAAAAAGTGAATTATTACAGTTAATAAAAACGTTCTTTGTTTTCGCATTCTATTAACAGAAAATATATACATATATTTCAGGATACTTGTAGGACATTTACTTTCTACATTTTTATGAACAATATTATATTTTATTCCAATAGAAAATTAGAATACTAAATAATAATGTACTTACAGGTGTATACGAAAAAATCACACTTCTCACAGGAAAGCGCCACCCTTGCGCACACGCACGTCACATGGACGCCCAACTCTATCCCGTTATATTTTTAATATAAAATTCTCTAGACGCGTATCGAATCATAAAAATATAAATATTTTAGGATCGACCGCGCGCGCAACACGGAGCCCGCTCCGCTTGCCCATTGACGCATTCGTTTCGAACTAATTTCGGTGCAGCGACTATTCCGCGATTCTGTAAACACCGCAGCGGTGGTAAAACTTGACCAGAATACATTGGCATCCACTTACACTGTGACTTCTTAATTTTCACCTGAAAAAGCAGCGGAAGAGGGAGACGCGTTAGTTCAGCTTACATTGGAATAACTACACTAATGTAAATTTAAACAACAACGACACGATAACCTTAACCGCTTCTCATAAAGGTTATTCTCGCTTGGCACGTCTGTATCAATAAAATGGTAAGTAATAAGTTCTGTTTTGGGCACACCGTGAGTCAACCGGGATGAGGAAATGCGTGCAAGTTATAATTTCGGAGCAGCCGACATTGTTGAACGATTTTATAAATCATTGCGGGATGAGTTACTATACAAAATATTTGTGGGTGGCAACATTTTTCTTATAATAACAATGAAAAACATCTTTGAGAAATGTTGAAAGATTAATTTAAGAAAGTGTATTCATTAAAATTCCATAGATTTTCCAGGCCATATTGTTATAAATGTCTTAGCAGGTCACGGATAGGTACTTTGTGAGGCATCACTGGAAAAACAAAGCTTCCTTTAAAAAGGGCCCGCGCGATTTTTATTACTGTAAAATAAATTATTGTTATTGGTAAGAGTTAGACAATTTGCTTCTATGTAGCATGTATGTAAGCTCTGATGCCTAAACAGACCTTCTTAAGCACCAACCAGCTGATTTTGATGTCCATTTGGAGGAAATACTTTTTGCCGCTTGATAAGCACCGCAATCACATTAGCGTGCCTAGGCACTTACTTAGGTCGTCATTGCTTATTACCCGACTGCGCCAAAAGAAGCGTTATGTTTTCGAGTGTAAATGTGTATATTTCTTTGGCAAGTTCTGTGGTCTAAACGGCTTGATGGATTTTGATTTGGTACATGTCGTTGAATTTGTCTTAATTTAGAATGATATTGTGTATGTGACAATTTTGAAAATTAAGATCATTTTGTAAATATCTACCTATACATTTTCACGCAATCGGGTTTTTTCTTTTTGTATCAATAATAAGCTTGTATTAAAGTTTTTTTTTTAATTACAAAAAGTACAAAAAGGTATATATTTTTTTTACGTGGAACTAAATAACTATATCGGCAAATTTTATATATTACTATATTGATGGAAATTGGAAAAAACTTGTTTAAGATAATAGAAATAGTGCTTCATCATCAACAGCCTCTAATAGTCCACTGCTGGACATAGGCCTCTCCTTAAAGGCGGTTTTGGCCTACTGTATGTACCTATCACGCCATCCAGGCGGGTTGATATAGGGTTTATGTCAAGTTTTCCTTGTCTTTGCAGTGCTGTTGTCTTGAGAAGTTTGCTCCCTTAGTCGGCTCTTACAATACCCACAGTATGAATAGGGGTGGTGACACTGCGTATTCTTAATCCGTCACCACACGAAGTAGCTTACTTTTTTTTTATTCGTAATTCTTTTTTGCTGAATTAACGCATTTTATAATAAATATAGTATTCGGTGATAGTAAAGTATTATAAAAAAAATTACAAGTTACTTAGTTGGGAATTACTTTATCATTATTTTAATTTCGTGTTTCTAACTTTGAAAATGACGGATGACTAACTTTGAGAATGAAATACAACCGTTCATCCCATATTTTACCACCTTAGGCTAAAAATCCTTTCTTAGTTTATGTTTACAACATAAGAAACAACAGCTATTAAAATTTTAAGTTTGTAGTTCCAATGATTTTGGATTTTGTATTAGGAATTGCGTTGATAAATCAGTCAGTTAGGGCAAAGTAATTAAGGTTGGGCGTAGCACCATCGATTTACGTAATGTTTTACAAAACGTTTTTGTAAGCGATGCCTAGTGAAGAACTAATCAGACATACCTATTTTCGGCCAATATTATGTTCATCTCAAATCACTCAGCAGAAACGTAAGCTGTCTCGTAACTTACGGTTTACGAGACAGCTTAAAGCTCTACATGCTAACGAATGAACATGTTAAATTTTATTCTACACATTCCAAATACCTCGTTAATAGCTTTCAGTGCTAATCAAACACTACATACTTAAAAAAACAACACTTCGATCTGTTTTTTTAGGTGTTAGCGGTTTTACTTTTTTTTTAAATGCATTGTTATTTTAATGTTTAGATAGACGTGGATTGATGAGACAAATTACTGTGTTATGAATGGAATGATTTTAGGCAATGCAATATTTTTAAATTGAATATCTGTATATTCAAAATTAAATAAATAAACCTATTTAATTGAACTAGTTTTCCCCAACGGTCGTCGGTCTGCGGCTAATATGGCCATCCGTATGTCATGACGGATAGGACGCATTCATTGAAGACTTTCGCCTTAATGCACTGTGGGATCGACGATGAGAAAACACGACGTAGCTTGCTGCCCAACCCAACTGAATTCTTCTATTCACCTCGTCCTCGAAGATGTTTCTACCTCACTACAATGTCTGCCCGAGGTACACATAATTAAGGTTGGAAAACGAGTTCTTGAGTGGAGACCGCGTCTCAGCAAACGTAGTGTAGGACGCCCACAGGCCAGGTAAAGTGATGATTTGCGCAAGATGGCTGGCAGGAGCTGGATGCGAGAAGCCCAAAATCGATCTAAATGGCGTGCAATGGGAGAGGTCTATGTCCAGCAGTGGACTGCGATAGGCTGATGATGATGATTTAATTGAATTTTAATTCTTTAAATAAACGAAAGATTAAGCTTTATTTCAAAAGCGTTATTTGTAAAAATATTTTGTTATTAAATGCCACACATGGACATGGATGTCTAAAAACAGACAGAGTCTCGCTAACATAAAACTGTGTCACTCATAGTCGACCATTACGCTCGCAAACATCAAGACAGCAAGACGCATGACTCGGCGAAAACATAAGTATACAACGTGTTTGGCGAAGTGAAATGCTGTATAAAAATTAAGAGCCCAACTTCCAAGATTGTTTCAGTAATGCATTCTACATAAATAGGTACACATTTTCAGAAAGGTTACACATATTACTATATACCACATTAGATAGTTATTAGTTTTTTTTTACAATCAATTTCTATGAAGTTAATTTATTTTTCGTTAATATTATCTTAAAGAATTTATACTAACAACATTACCGTCTCTCAGTGCCGAGAGTCTGTGTATTATCTTAATTTTGTTCCAGTTTTGTGTATAAAATATTAAGATTTAGCAAAATTAGGTTACTCGTTTGTTTTAATGTCTCAACACGCTGGACTTACTGTTTGAAGGAACAGAGACGCATCTTTGTACATCTTGGATACACAAACAGAAAAGTTTGTGGCAATCCTAAAAAAACATCGTGGGGATCCCACGCTCCAGGACAAATGGACCAGCTCACAGAAAACTGGTTGAACAGTTATTTCGTTGCTTTTAGCCAGGTAAGGTAACCAAAACCCTAATTCCCTCTCTGATCCTAAGGGGAACTCAAACTGGCAGCATTGTACATTACTCTTAACTTGTTGGTATCCGTGAGGTAGACGCTTACCATCAGGTGAAAAGCCATATGTATGCCATAAAAAGTCTCAATGCCTCAACACTAATTCTTGTATTTAAAAAAGACAACTCCCGCAGCAAGAATGTATCTTGTGTCGCGGGGCACTTTACAAATATACCAGAAACAGACACAACGAACACCCAGACTCAGAATAACAATTTGTGGATCACACAAAGTGTTGTCCCGTGTGGGGATCGAACCCACAAAACTCAGCAAACTCAACTCAGGAACCGGCGAGGTGACCGCTTAAACCTCTACACCATCCGTGCAGTCAAATGAAATGGAAATACGGATTCAATCAGATCACAATGGCTGAACGAATTACGGTGAAACTTGAAGCAAAGACAGATTATAGTCTGGGTCATGGTCTACTTTATATTAGGAAAAAAGTCGCAGGTTTTGCAGGCTGGTTATTAATGTAGTTGTTAGATTTGTTTCCGATGTGGAGTTTTGTCGCTGTACGCTATCCGTGCAGTCAGGTGCACTACGACATTCTGGTCGGTGTTATCAAAGGCCGACAATGCACTTTGTGAATCTTGAGTTACGCCGGTTTTCGTACTTGCGGGTAACACCGCGGGCGCAGCCAGTAAGAAAAAAAAACAACAATAAAATACTATTTTTAGTGAAACTTTATTCGTTTTCTCTTACATCTACGTTTTAACAAATGTCATTTAGCGTTCTTCAAAGCCTCGCAGGCCTCAGTCATCTTCAATCCCTCAAGAATGTACAGAAGATTCTCTACTGACGCATCTTCGTCATCATCAAACCAGAGCGTGAGCATATTCTTAGCCCTTAAAGGATCGGTGGCGTTCTCCGTTTCGAAGAATTGAATTTCATCAGGTTTGTAGCCAAGTTTACTTCCTAACTTCTTCCAGTCGGTAAGTTTGGAGCATAGAGCTTCCATTTGTGATGAGGATATCGTAGTGACGCGGGAACGCGTTGTCTTGTCGTAGTCATCTTCGACCGCATGGGTGGAATCTGGTACCTGCAATATAGATAATAGAAATTTTTATTGAAGGCAGTTTCGCAGAGACCACATTAATGACGATGGATTTATAGAAGTTTAGTGTAGTTTACTCGACATTGTATGCAAAAAATAAATCATATGCGCCATTTCCGTTACCATTCATCTGGTCCAATTTTTCTATTACCTACTAATAGAAAAATTGGATAGGTTGGTTAAGTCTAGTAAATAAATAAAAATGATTTATGTCTAAAACAATAGTTGACAGCTTTGACGGATTTCAGTTCACATGATTTTGCTTTAATTTAATAATGTTTCTAAATACAACTTTTTTTATGGAAGAGAGGGCAAACGACCAGACGGGTCACCTGATGGAAAGTGATTACCTCCGCCCATGAACGCCTGCAACTTAGGAGTAAGATGCGCGGTTTACGCTCTTTTCTTGTAGGTTGTACCGGTCCAGTCTGATATAGGGGGCAAACAGACAGGTCACCTGACCAATAGCCACCCCCCTCCCCCGTCCCAATTTGAGTGGGGTTGGTTTTGTTTAACTCACTCAGTCGGTGAAAAACAATGAAAAAGTTGCTTAACATAGGAGTAGTCAGCGACAACGATTGCAAACACATAATTTTAAATATCAATACCATTATTATATTACAATTACGAGAATAATAGAAGCATCGAACCTGTTCAATGTCATTGGCATCTCCCTCCTTTATAAGATCAACTTCCATTTGTTCCTCTGTAATTTCTTCTTCGTTGTCCTAAAACATTAGAAGCACTAAAAATAACAACATTTAAACAATAACATTTGTGCCTCGAATCAACTAAACAACAACCTGGACGCCATATTGGTCTATGATATTTAAAGGTTTTTTGCGAAGTGTCAATCAAAATTGAAAATTCAATTTATTGTTACGTGTGCATTAAATTACGTGAGAAATTTAACGTACGTACGTACGGTCACGGTAAATTTATCATGTGAATAAAAGAACTGTGACAAACTGACTATTATGGTTCTTTTATATTTGGTTTCGTGGACCTTCCTCACGCGGAATTATTTAACACGATGGCAAGGAAGCGTGCGCTGCTACTTGAGTTAACCAATGAGCGCGAGTTAATTATCAAGGTCAGATATTCATCGTTATCTTCATCTTTTTCGATCGATTTTCGTATAAGGCCCGGTTTGAAAAAATAATGAAGAGTAAAATTTAGTGATCGAATGACCTCGTTACGTTTTTTGTGCGCAACCTATCGTGCGCACCTTTCACATCTGTGTATATAACTTGTATACTTGTTAATCGCCGAATCGTTCTTAACGAGTAAACTCCAGTCATGCTGCGGAGCTGACACACACAATTTTTTTTAATTCAAGTGCGAGTTTATCTCCGATATTGAACTAAAGAGGATCAAAACCCGCACCTAAATAATTCTCATTTGGCAGACTGTTGCTTAGGTGAGACGAGGTATTAAAATTATAAACATTAAGTGTAATTAGGTAACAAAAATGATTAATACATTACAGAATTCCAGGTCACAGGTGCCTGTAAAAATTAAAAAATCAAATACCTTCGAACAGTCTAATATGTTACTTATTGACATAGCATGTGTCTTTTTTCGTAAGAGATATACTTTCGCCATTTATTCTATTGTCTCATAAGTTTACAGTTCTAGGACAAATAAAAGTTATTTTATTACTTGGATACGTCCTAAATAATTCATGTTGTAGTAATATTTGTGGTAGTAACGAAATAAGTAGTGTTTGGTTACCATTTTTTTGAAATAAATTGATCTTTCAATAACACATTAACTAGTTACATGTTTATCCATAATTAATATATTGTTAGTAGTGACTACAATAATTAATTAATTGTTATAAGACAAATATTATTATTAAACAAATAATGGCCCCTGTCATTGAATCTTTATTTGATTGATGGCCAACTCTACTTACAATGCTTTTGTGTAGTTATTGAATATTTTCTCCTAATGACTTGTAGGTAATAAATTGTGGTCAGAAGGCCAATTCTCGTGATAAAAATTCAGTCAAAAATCAGTTCCGATCAACTGGCGATCTCACAACTGGTACGAAAGGTATTTTCGTAGTAAAGTACTAAACATCCAACTTTGACTGTAATGTGATTATATCGTATTGTCACCGAAAATTAAATCGGTAATCTGCTAGTTTAAGTTTTTTTTTCTATTTTTCTACGAAAATACCTTTTACGACAGTTGCGAGATCGAGAGTTGATCGGAACTTAATTTTGACAGAATATTTATTACGAGATTTGGCCTTCACTGTAACAATTCAAATAACCCTCGCTCTCGTACCTTATTCTTCCGATATCTTCTGTAGTATACAATACGGTATGGTATCAATACTTGCCAATACCATTTTATGCAGGTGTGTAATGTAAACGGTTACCAATAATTTGTTCAAAGTGTTAATTACAGGACATCGAGGAACATTTTGAATAAATGTTCATAGATTTTCTGTTAAAGGGTTCATAAAACACACAATACACAGTACAGTTTTATTTTATTTACCTGTTTAATCGCTTTGTCATTATGTTTAGATGATTCTCCGTTAGCGTTGGCTGCGGCCGTCGCTGCCACTTCACGGGTGACACGATCGACCTATTGGAACAGAACATAATTATTCTAATCAAGCTTAACTTTACCAATGTCAATAATACTATAATGAAAAAAGTAGACGATTTTTTTGTGCGTGTTGAAACTCGTACATCGCCTGGGTTTGGGATGGGATGGTATTATGTGTATGAATCGAACAGACTAAAATTACATGGTGTGCTATATTGCATTTAAAATAAAAAGGATCCGGGAAGAACTTTTATTAAGGCATTTGGCCCTCTCCTAGGCTTATCAACCTATCCACGAGGACTAAACCGGGCTGTCCACACGCGGTTCTCACACACACTCAGGAAGTAGACGACCGGTATCCTAATTTCAACCATGCTGTTTAAAGCATTGTGGTAGGCAGACGTGCGCCCAATAGAAATGATAGTGTAAAAATATTTTCGACGAGTGGATAGCCCTAGCATATCACACATCATAATAATAATATTAAGTTATCTTACACACAGCTGACAGATCCTAAGCTGGGTAAAACCTTTACTATGGTAACCAGACTGCTGATAAACACTTCCATCCACAGCCTTTACTAGTCCACTGCTGGACATAGGCCTCTCCTTAGAAAGGAGGTTCTGGCCTACTATACCACGCTAGCCAGACGGGTCGGTACGGGACGGTTCAAGTTTTCCTTCTCTTTGCAGAGCTATTTTTCTGCGTAGTTTGCTCCCTTAGTCGGTTCTTACGACACCCACGAGATAAATAGGGGTGGTGACACTCTACTCTTAATCCGTCAATACACGGAGAAATGTATAAACACATATATATTTCTAAACACATACATAACATAGATAAATTACACTCAAACTAAAAACAAATGATCGTGATCATCAAACAATTATTTGTCCTGAGTGGCAATATACCCACGACTGGCTTAGCAGTCAAGGTCACTAACCACTAGACCAACAGGCCCAATCAATTCTTAAAGAGATCTTGGTGTACACGAGTATGTTGTTGTGCGTTGTATCGTAGGTTAAGCTCTTACCATAGCATTGAGGTAGTCCGGGAGTCGTCCGATAGGGTTGTTAGTGTGCACGAAGAAGTGCGGAGAGCGTCGCGCTAACAGTCTCAGCGCGCGCCAGCCCCACCCGCCACACGACGTACGGCGAGCTGTTTCTGTTTCGCTCTCGCATACCATGTAAGATTCTGGAGAAAAAATGGATTGGAATAGTATTTAGGAATAAGAAACTAGATGTCGTACACCAAGGTATGAAGGAAGAGCCCGTATCCCATCTCGGTAAGTCTGTATGTTGAGACCTCTTAAAACCGACATGATAGCTGCCAGAGCTAGATAAAGACATGGTTCATCGCGGTTCATTTTTAATACATACACAAGCAATTGTAAAATACATCTTACACTTTATTAAATCATATTTTTATGCAGTCCACTTCTTGCCTTTATTCACTTAAGCCTTAAAATTGAACCAACATAAACACAGACCTACATACATTATATTTATAATCATATTTTAAAAGTATTATAATTACCCAGTGATGGCATAAAGTCCCTCTCTTTAGTGCGGCAGGCGGCAAGATTGTCAGGGCACAAGTTCCATAATTTTGTCAATTCGTTGCTGCAAACAAAAAACTCTTTTAACGCCATAATCTAAGGTTTATATTTTTAAACTTGGTAATATTAGGAATATGACTTACTTTCCCATATATGATTTCTTTTGGGACTCGTATTCTTTGATAATGTCTCCGACAGGACGTCGACGTTTCCTCGACTTCTTGATTTCATCGGAAGGGTCTACTTGTACAGGAGGTTTTGGCTTCTGGAATTCTACACCGGAAATTTAAGTTGGTATGGGATTATAGATGCCAAGTCACCATTTATGCATACAGTTATTCATTGTTAAATTTATGATGAGTAGTGAATAATATCTGCTTTAATAATAAATAAATAAATTTAATTGCATTTTAATCGGGTATTTGACTGTAAAGTTGAAACAGTCTTTGGAGCTAAAACAGAAACATTCAATTGACAATAGAGTCCAATTCATGCTGTACTATAATATGTTACATTTAATTATTTCAATAAAATGATATAAACATTAACAAACATTAAGTATTAGACTCTCTTCTCTTCTATATCTCATCTCTTTTAAAAAGACACCTCCCACACTAGGAATATTTCCTGTCGTGGGGGACGTTACAGACATTGACAAAGAACATCCAGACACAACAATAATTTGTAGATCACATAAAGTTGTGCCATAAGGGGTTGTGACATGCCACCTAACCCATGTCACTCAATCTACCAATCTAGTAATCCAACTATTTTGTGACTCACCTGGGCACCCATCATTTTTCCAACTATTCCAATGTTCCTCCCTTTTCAAAATATGTTTCACACACTCAGCAAATTGTTTGCCATGCGGTGGTGTCTCACCCAGCAATTTGTACACCAATGAAGATGTCTCTTTAACCCACTCAAGTTGGTCAGACTTTAGCTCTTGGGATTCCCTGCAAATGAAAACTTTAATTGCAAAACTGACCTATACAACACTAAAATAACAGGATTATGCTTACATTTTTATGGATAACAAATTAAAAACACTTTCAATAGATATATATCAATAGAATTGGTTTTTCTTTTATAGGATTATGTGTTAACAGGTGCAATGACAAAGAATGTTTGAACACAATACTAAAATTACTAGAATATGATATACAAATGTATGGTTATGTAATTATTGTAATTTGATGACCATGTTTATGCTGATTGCAATAAATATAAGAAATGAATGATATAGTCCACAATTCTATAACCAGTTGGGTTGGCAATGTTAGTTAGGTTACTTTACTTTTGGCCTGCTAATCAAGGCCATATGCCGTGCCATTTTCTTAGAACGGATTAAGTACAGTGATTTTGTTACAGGAAGTCAGCGATGCAATTCTACTATTACATTAAAATAATAATAGTACATATAATAAATAATTGTATGATGAGCATGGTCATTTGTTGTGTCTGGGTGTACTTGATGATGTTTGTTAGCAGTCTGGTTACCATAGTACAGGCTCTGCCTAGTTTGAGATCAATGAAATGAAATGATATTTATTCCTGCAAGTAAATCTTTTCAGATATTTCTACAAGTCGGACTTTACAACTAGATGGTGCCGGGATCAGACGATCAAGTGTGAGATATGTGAAAATATTATTATTATTACATGATTATTTCTTTACAAGATTATTAATTCAATAACTTTATTTTATAAAATTGGTTTATCATCATCATCATCATCAGCCTATCGTAGTCCACTGCTGGACATAGGTCTCTCCCATTGCAAAATTGGTTAATACTACTGAATACTGCAATCTTTAGTATATGTACTTAAGTAGTAAATAATTACATTACTAAGTAATGTAATAATTAAAAATTAAGTTTTAAATTGAGTTTGTGATCTTTAATTTTTATGTTTTGATTTATATGTGGTGATTTTAACATAAAGTAAAAAAGGCTTTTAATTGAGTCTTACATTTTGAATTTAACTGTTGAAATCAAATATTGGAACAGTATTAAAAACTGTATCAGCACACATCTTCTGAAGTTAGAGTCTGACAATTGTAACTCTAACAGCTTCTGGTTAGTGAGGAATTTAGCAAAGTAGTGTTGTTCCTTGGACTCCTGCATCTCAACATCAATATCCATGGTTTTAAGACGATTCAGCTTGGACTTTTGGAGTTCAACTGCTTCTAGTTTGTATGAGGAGAATGCTGAAAGTACACTTCCAGAATGCTAGAACAGATTATACAATATTAGATTAGTCATTTTAAAGTTTTAAATCCTCTAAAAATTATTGCTTCATCATGATCATTCATCATCAGCCTATCGCAGTCCATATCGCACCGCTGGACATAGGCCTCTTCCCTTGCATGCCACTTGATCGATTTTGGGCTTCTCGCATCAAGCTCTAGCTTATAATTTATAATAATTATGGCTTCAATTTATAATAAATTATGACTGCTGAGTAATAAACATAAAAATTAAAGTTCAGAAACTTACACCCATTCAAAATAAACAAAATATATTATTTTACTGTGAAATCATAGTAGCAAAATAAAACCAAACCAAATAAACTTAGTAATGACTTCTACCATAGATATGCATTAAACATAGAAATCCCAATATCATTGTTTAACTACATCTTTTGTTACCCAGCAGAGAATGCACTTAAGCCTGGTTAACATTTAACTCTCCTCTCTGATGTGCAGTGCTTAAATTAAGTGCATAAAGAAAGCAATGTACAGTGCAGCATATCAAAGGTTAAACCCCTACATCTAAATCAGTGTCTAGACAGAGTATAATACACCTGTAGTTCACAAAGAAATGCAATTGATGAAGTAAGTAATGCCTTTAGTGTTCATAGCTACCAAATATTTTGCCACCACAGACAGCAGTTTGCTGGGGACCCCTTGAGGACTGGATACAGAACTCAGAATAATATTACTCTTGTTCCCTTACTGGGATTTAACTTAGTGGGAGCAGTATATTGTATATTAAAACTTAAAAAGCCATCCTTACATTTATACAATTTTTAATTAAATACTGGCCAAATTATTGGTTTAACAAGATACTTTCATGTGTTCCTGAGACCAGGGTTTTGTAGACAGACAACAAAAACAAGTAGAGTGTGAGTTGTGTTTTAAATTAAAGTATGTAAAAAATAGTAGTCAAGTAATACATACCGCAACAAAAGTCTTCCACTGAATTTTATTATAACAAGTGTTAGGATTCCTGAAAAAATCTTGAAGGCTCCAAAATCTGCAGTATAAATTATAATCGATATTCAGTTTACTTTTTTCATCATTTTCCAAAACCATTTCCTCATCTAACGCATCTTTCAGTGTGCTAGAATTATCAACCCCAAACTCAGTAACATTTTCAAGGTTGAACTCAGAAACTATGTTTAGACCTGACCTCTCCGAAAACGGAAAGAATTTGGCTAAGAACAATAATATTCGGCCACAGAAAACAGTGTTCTGAGATCTTGACAATCTTCTAAGGAGGTCATTGCACATTCTTAATAGATTATTTTTGCAAGCCACAAAGAACAACTCTTCTTTCCAGATGTTTACACCATTTTCAACATACGAAAACATTTTCTCACATTTATTCAATGTAAGTGCATCAAAAATATCTCCCAAAAGAACAACGGGCATCGTAGGTGTTACCATTTGCCGCCTACACGATTCTATACAGAATGATACGAAGTTTTCTAAAGTGTTTGGTTCTTCAATCAACAACTCTAAGAGCTTATCTCTGTATGCTTGGTCCATCGCTGCTTTCCTGTCGGTCTCATTTATGTTCTTCGAAAACGAATCCAGTAAGTCAATGTTGTTGGTCGTAAACGCTTTGGAGAGTACGTCCTATAAAATATGAGAATATATTTAATACATAATCCGGTATTATTTGTGTAAAATAAACATGTTTGAGGTTATTACCTTGTATCTATTTCGCAAGTCTTCAAATCCATGTTTTTCAGACATTTTAATAGTTTACCCTTTTATACTTTGGTCTTATATTAGTTTAGTCTCTCATTAGGATTTGCAGAAATATTTCAAACGTAATCTCTAATACAATATTATTCTAAACTAACATGATATCTACGCTAAATTGCTAAGATGCCATATTTGATGACAAACTTTAGGTTCAGCCAAGTTGACTTGACAATACTTAAGCACTCCAAATCCAAACCACAGAGTATTTTCGTTTGTATAATATAAAAAGAGACCATTATGATCATAGAGAAATAACTTAGAGAGAACCAAAGCCTTCTTTCTTGCAATCTAGGCAAAGAGAGAGATGGATAATAAATAGTCCCCTCTATCTCTTGCTAGCCGAGCTTTTTTTGGCTGGGGAATATGAGGGGTTAATAAATAGCTAATAGCAGCTTTGCTAAATAGAAACAGAGGGAAATATCGGCATCCATCTCACTCGTTGCCTGTATCGCTTCAGCTTACAGACAGCTGTACCCTGTGTTCTCTCTATTGTTATATATCTATGATTATGATGCTTTAAACCAAAGAACTAGAATCTACGAACAATAATTGCTCTAGAACAGTAACCCTCCTAAAATTGTCGCTTTGATTTTAGTTCCATTACGTACAAAAACTAACAGCAAGTCTAACGAAACACTTACACTCGCTCATGGGAAAAACTTTTATGATCTCTATGAAATAGAACCCAACTCAGCTAAACCAGTGATTGTGTTTAGAGTAGTATATAACTAATATCGGTATTGGAAACATTTATTTTGTAACTTAATAGACACTTTACTTTAGATTTACTTTCGTAATTTTACTAGTTCGACTATTTCTTTTAATGGTCTCAACTTAATAAAACGATAAAAAGAAATTTAATTTCAAATTTGTGTTTAGAGAAGTTTTATTGAAAAATGGCCAAATAAACGGTTTAATATAAAACTTTCATGTGTTCCTGAGAACAGGGTTTTAACAGAAAGAGATTGAGATTTTCCTTTTAATTTTCAGGTACGAAACCTCAACAACGAAAAAATTTATTTATTTTTTATTTTTTAAGGTAAACTTGAAACAAGCGTACCTGAATAAGAGAAGATACAGTGCCAGCCTTCTCGATTTTGGAAGTAACATTGGAGGGTGTCAACTTTCGTGAATACTATAAATTACTGAATTAAAGATCCTCGGATTAATCTTGGTGGTTTTTTTTAATGAAAAAAGGGGCAAACGAGCAGACGAGTCGCCTGATGGAAAGTGACTACTGCCACCAAAGAACGCTTGCAACTTAAGAGTACGTGCCTATATTAGTATAGAAGCGTAGCTAGGTAGCGAAAACTACTTATTGTCAAATTGAAGAGTTGATTTGAATATTTCAAACAATCACAACTATTGTGGTTGTTTAAAATATTATTTTTGTTTGACAGTCTTCCAAAATAAATATATTCTTATGTAAAGATGAATGTACATTTTTACGAATTAAACTGAATTGGTAAGAAATATGCATGAATTATTTTACTTTTATAGTATATTATATATTATATTCGTTTTATACAACATAAATTAACCTAATGGCTCAACGAGTTTATCTATTTAATGTAGCCTGTGGGTTTTACATCGATTATTTGAAATTTTTGGTTTTGCTTCTGTCAACCTATCGCTTCTTTTCGCGCTGTATTGGAGCATAGGATTTTGCGCAATGAAAGTATTCGCCTATGATTGGCTGGCTTTTTTGATAGTACATTCAAGAACCAATCATAGATCGAGTTCAATGTACGGAAGTGCAGCTGATACATAATAACTTTGACAGATGTGTGTCGTCGTGTTGTGTGGCGTCCTGTCTATTTATCTTTAGGATTTTATTATTATTTACAGATTTTTTACTTGATCCTTTGTTTAGAAATGTATTAAAGTGTAAGTTTAGGGTAGCTTAGGTCTATATTTAGTAATTAATATTAGGATTTTAAAAGAAGATTAAACACCACAGTATTTAGAAAATATGGACCGCAATAATATGAGGTAAGAAAAACTTCCATCTGTTTCTGACGAATTTACTTTCAAATTTGTTTATAATTTAATACATATGGAATAGTGGTGGGTCTTAGAGCAATCAAAACATATTATTCTTTTGAATTCTTGACAATTCAAGTAAATATAACCCTGTTTTTATAAGGCTTTGTGTGTTGTTCTCAATATCATAGCGTGTAAAATCGTGGTATCTCGAGTATGCTCTATCGTGGTACGTTAAGCGGGCGCTCTAGTAGTAACCCTTTTTTAGTTAACAACAAAGAATTGTATCATGTTTACTAAGAGTGCGCGCGAGTATTTTATTTATATTTTTATCTCTCCACGCGCTCTGCTTATCACCTCGTCTGCGTACAGTTGGTTTCACGCTGACTTATGTTATAAAACATAACTCAATTCGCTGTTCTTTAAAATTAATAATAAATATTTTAATAGCCAAATATATGTGTGTGCAATTAATAATAACACTTGAATTTATAAAAAAATAAATTTGTGGCCAATGGTCAGAATACATGGTGTACATCTATGGACAACAGATATTGTCAATCCACCCGTCATGATATTTACATATTCAACAATATTAACTAATTATTAGTCAATAACACTATTTTTGTACTAAATTAATATTAATATATGATATTTTGGTTGGTCGGTCGGTATTAATGCCTTTGTGGTGTAATGGTAGCATATGCGAATGCTGTGCTGTGGTCTTGGATTTGATTCCTGGTTCGGACCAAATGTTTGTATGATATTTGTTTTGAAATTTGGGTGTTTTCTAAGTATAATATGTATGTATTTACAAAAAAAAAAGAATGCAAGTATTCTATCAGTCAATCTAGCTTTAGTAAAAGCTGAAACTAGATGGCTTTGTGAGTCTGATCTCCAAAAAAAAATATTATTATTACATCTGTCTGTATGGTTATGGTTTGGTATGGTTGGTATGGTTAAGAACACTGAGTATTCATCCCCCGATTCATCCCGCTGGTGTCATAAGAGCTGACTAAGGGAGCAAACTATGCAGGACAACACCACTGCAAAGAGAAGGAATACTTCACACAAACTATAATACCACAAACCTCTCTGGGTAAAATATTTCTAATCAGAGGCCTATATCCATTGGACTACTAAAGGCTGTTGATGTGATGAATATTTGATAATGTAACTATACAACAGTTTTTTTATTGACATTCATATTAGCTAACATACATTGTCTTTAGAAGACTTGTCGAAGCCACCCAATTTTATATTTAGAAGCAGTATTTTAGTATTGGAGATAGCAAAATATCCCTTTATATCTACAGAATATTGTAAAAGTGGTTTGAATATTTACTGCAGTACAATTTCAGTATGTAACAATTATACACATTCACAATTAAATATACACATTCTGCATAATGTAATGCATAAGGCAGACTCAACACCGTAGGAATTTTCTTCCAGCCAACCTTTGAGTGGTGCAGAGCTGTGTGTGGCAGGTGTATATTTCAATCTAATATAAATATATTATTAAATGAATGTGTTTCGAATAATTAGTCAACATACATATGATAGGCATACAATGCCTTTTAATCATGTTGCTCTGAACATTTAAACTTAGTCACAAAGAAAACTGAGATATATAGTGAGATATAGAAATTAAAGTCTGTGTGGTGACGGATTAAGAATACAAATTGTCACCACCCCCATTCATCCCGTGGGTGTCGTAAGAGCCGACTAAGAGAGCAAACTAAGCAGGACAACAGCACTGCAAAGAGAAGGAAAACTTGAAACAAACCCTATACCAACCCGTCTGGCCAGCGTGGTATAGTAGGCCAAAACCTCCTTTCTAAGGAGAGGCCTATGTCCAGCAGTGGACTAGTATAGGCTGTTGATGATGTTGATGATAGAAATTTAAACTCTTGGTTGGAATTGGAGCCTATGCCAAGCAGTGATAGTAATAGCAGTAATACCTCTGTAAGACTTGTTAGAGATCACTAATATTGTGATACAAATGCTGTGGGTTTGATTCCCACCCAGGACAAATGATTGTTTGAGGCACAATCATTTGTTCTGTGTCTGGGTATAATTTATCTATGTAGTGTGGTGTAGTCTATAGAAAATATGTAGGTATGTATTTAGAAATACAGAAGTATGTTTATCAGCAGTCTGGTTACCATAGCACACACTGCCTAGTATGTGATTAGACTGTGTGGGATGTGTGAAGTTATTATTAGCAAAAACATTATTTACAAAATTTTCTTTTTGAAAACTTTGACATTGGCTATTTGTATTTTCAATTATAACGTTTTGACCTCCAGATCAACCTACCTGAGCAACAGCGGGCCCCGCTCCCTGCCACACATGGGCGGCAGTAAACGTCACAACGGCAACGGACACAACGCGCGGCTAAGCCCACCGGCACAGACACCACCCGCGCTCAACAATCCCAACCAGAATGACGATCTCATCAACTATATTTATGACTCTTGGAATAAGGTGAGTTTTGCCGTAGTCTAATAATGATATACCTAAGTAAGTTGCGCAGTGTTTGTGTATTCTACTGCTACCGTCGCGCGCGGGAATCGAACCTGAACTCGATCGTCACGGTGATCGCATTCGCGTCGCAATTGGTAAAGAGTTCAGAGACCGTAGTGCGAGTTTATTTCACATCTACTCGCTCGTCAAGGTGACCACTGTCGGCGCTGTGATTGTCCACTAAAAATCTGCACCAATCGCAACGCGCTCGCTGTCGAGAGCGAGTTGATCTATACTCTATACAAATAAATAAAATTGGAGTGTCTGTTTGTAATATTAAAATAACCGCTTTTTACTAAATGCATATGTATGTTTACACGGTACATATGCCAAAATAACATTTTTTACAATTTTTGCCTGTCTGTCTGTCTGTCTGTTTGTTCCGGGTTATCTCTGGAATGGCTGGACCGATTTCGAAGAGACTTTCACGGGCAGATAGCTGATGACATAAGGAGTAACTTAGGCTACTTTTTTTAGACTAGCTTCGCCCCGCGACGAGACACCGCGGGTCTCAGCTAGTGTGAAATAAACTCACTCTTGGGCCTCTGTGCCGGCCAGTCGCAATGCCGAACGCGGTCACTCGAGTCGATGTGAAAATAGTCACGCTAGGCCCTCTGCTTGTATGCTTGAATATGTCTGTTTGCGTCAGTCTGGTTAAGTTTTATTTGCGTCAGTCTGGTTAAGTTTTAGTTATAGTAGAGAAGGTGATTATGGGGTAGGTACTTATTCATTACCCCCTATTTAAATGTTGCGCATATCTGTCACAAGTTTTTTTTTAATATTCTTGTAACGCCACCCACAAAAATTTAGGGCAAAAAAGATCCAAATTTTTTGTTGAGTTTTGGCAGGGTGTGAAAAATCGTGATTAAGTGAATCATCAAGATCCTAGTAAATAGCGTGAAAAATTAGTAATAATAACATAATAATTTTAACATTTATGTCGTATATTTATCACTAACTTTTGCCAGTGACACCGCCCTCGTATATGTCGGAGATCGCGGTAAAAATAGTCAATATCCTACAACCTATGTCCAGCGGTTTAGTCGTGAAAGCGTAACAGACAGACTGACAGAGTTACTTTCGCATTTATAATAATATTAGGCGTAGGGTTTTTGTTGTGTTCGAACGCGAGTTTCGGTGTCTACGAAAATTTTTTTTTGCACATTTATCTTGATATTACTTTTTTGCAGCTAATGTTCATAGTGTACAACATTTTACTTAAACACTATAGTTAGAGCAATAATTGTACGATGTAGCTCATACATTTGTAATTAAGTTCTCAACTTGTCATTATTGCGAACTACGCTGTTATTACGTTGCTGAAACAATACCGAAGTTCTACACTTTGCTAATAATAGTGTTTAATTAACTTCGCGGGTATTATGTACTTACTACATTAACTTCATCATAGTAATAGGGGTTGGAACTTGCCTCTGTAACGTATAAACAACCTAAAGTCCTAAACTATAAAGATATAAATTACAATAAACATACATCTGTAGTTTGATTTTCATTTGTTTTTAATGCCGTACAATAATATTTAAATTGGTATCCCTGGCTGGAGCACAAGCCAGGGGACGAAGCCTACAAGAAAACACGATAATTTCAGAAATAAAGTTATGTGCATCGAGTTTGATGGCATTTTTGGACTTACTCGTTCCGACAAAAAGCTTACGTCGTAGACGACTATCTACGAGTACTAGGACAAGACTCATTTTGGTGTTTTATGTTAACGTAGTATAGTAGGCCAAAATCTCTTTTCTGAGGAGAGGCCTATACCCAGCAGTGGCTATTAAACACTGTTGATAATGGTGAACACTTACTTTTCATTTTACCACATATATTTTTATTTTAATATCACCATCCTTACCAATAAATTATATTTTTCTGTATTTCAGGTGACTCGCGAACTCGAACGCGGCAGTGAAGACGCCAGGTACTATCAAGATGTCTTGGTGCCCCGACAGCTCGCCAACTTCAGACCTTTCAACCTCGAGGAGTGGTGGGCCCGCCGCCTACTGCAGAGCATAAACCGCAACAAGAACCGTTCTTAGTTCCATGTCAGAAATCGTTCAAAAACTCCTCAACTGTGCCCATTGCAGGAGACAAACTTTTTAATGAGAAGAAAATTCAGTATGGTCTTCATAGTATTGGCTGCTGTTTTTGTGTACAACGTATTTTCAAAGATTATTTTCCCCTGACTTGAGTGTTTCAAATGGTTTGAGGTCGTATAAAGCCTCTTTATTAAATGAGGCCGCTCAGTAGATCAAAATAATGTTTAAAATTTTTCATTATGTTTTTTGTCTTGTTTGACAATGTGGCCAATTAAAAATATAGAGACGTTGAAAAAAAAATGGGTACAGTTTGAACAAGTTAATTGAACGAAGGTGTAGTGTCTCATTGTACAGATACAAAAACTACACTCATTATAAATGTAGTATTTAAAGACGTTTTAAAAGATACGGCAAATAGACTTCGATTCAGTGCATTAGACGTATGAAATATATGAATGATAGATTAGAGCACTAAGAAAATATACAATATATTAAAAATAGATATTTGTGAAATAACTTTATGATGCAACTAGTTTTAAAAGTGGGCTTTATGCTGTGAAGTAAGTAGTCAGGCTGTTCTCTTCTTATATATGCAACGGCGTATTTATAAAAGCATTCCAATGCATTTATAAATTAGTTTTTCACATGATTGTTGTATTCACTTTTTAAATGTATCACAATTTCTATATGTCACTGAGTTGTTGAATATGTTGTTTGGAAGTCACTGGATCTCTTATAAACCACCCCTCCTTACACCTTAACTGGTTCACTTTTGCAATGAGACACTGTTATTCGAGATTATGCTTTACGATTTTGTTTATATTCAAATATTATTAATAAGTATTTAAGTATTAAATTGCATTTTTTAATCTGTGAGATATGTAAACTGTTTTCTATATGAAAATAAAAAAAATACTAGCATTTGAGATGTTTGGCTTCAAATAGATTTTTTAGATCTTCACTCAAAAATGTAAAAGCGAAGAGTTTGGAAATTACTAAATATAACTATTCATTAAAATGGTGTTATTTTTAACACCATTTCTCTAGAATGAAACAAGTTGAGTTTAGTGTAGTTTATATACCGTCAAAAAACATTCTGTTGATTATTCTAACTAATACTTACAATAAAAGTACACAATGTGAGTCTTTCAATAATAATTGTGATATGAATAATTTGTAATTTCGTAAAAGCAATAATTAAAGTTGACACGTGGATAGGAAACATTACGTTTTAAAATGTTTTCCCATGTCTAGGTGATCTTAGGTTATGTAAATAAGTTAGTATGAATTTCTATTTGTATTTAATATTAATTATAAGTGACGTCATCGCAATTTAGATTTGCTAGTTATTGTGTTGTATTCATTTAAGTAAATAACCGTTGAACGATAGTTCTGTTGTACTGATACAAGTCATAATGCCGCTTTAAATTGACCTGTTGTTGATGTAGGTTCCCTTCGATTAGTCGATTGCTAAATATTATTCGATTCTACTTTAAAAGAATTGCTGACTTTTATATAGCACTCTCAAAACAGCTTTTTTCTTTTTCTTCTTTATGTGCTCGTTATAATCAATGAGTTGTTGAGAGTTAATGATATAATAAATATATTTTTGTGTTTCGAATAACTGATTATATAGTCAATTAATCTCTGTCGAATTTCTCTATTTATTAGCTTTTATTATTTTTCTATTACAATATTAAGGCTTGTACAAACGACACTTTCTCGAAGGGTTCCTCAAGAAACCGGTTTACTTGTAGTAGTATAACAGTACTTCATCTTTTAGAGATTTACCCGACTTTAGAGAAATTAGAGCTGACTAAGACTGGTAGCAAACTGTCGATGTCCGGCGTTAGGGATCCGATTACATAACACATTCCATTCACGCATGTACTTAGCGTTTTAAACTATTGTAAATACGTTTTAAGTTATGCAAGTGCTACAGATTATGGATTTGAATAAAATGTTTTTTAATAAATCTTGTTTTTCTTTGGTTTTATGCCGTCTTGTGTTATACACCTATTTGTATTTGACAAAACAAGCACACTGCTCGTCTTGGCAGTGCATACGAGTGAATGTGATTAGTTTGGGATTAGACTCGCTTTTGGCTTAAAAAAAATCTTAAAAATCGTGACAAAAATAATTGACATACAATATAATAGGTATTTACCTATGAAATTGCCGTTTTGTATGCAATAAGTGAAAGTACTTATTTTTTCAAACTTTTTTATTTCTGTTATTCGAAGTAATCACCCATGCAATCGACGCATCTTTGCCAACGCATTGGCAGTTTATTGATGCCCTTCTTGTAAAAATCAGCTGGACGGGAGGCAACAAACTCTTCAAAGGCATTTTGTACTGCCTCTCGGGAATTGAATTTTTTACCCACTAAAAAGTTGTCTAAATTTTGGAAAAAGTAATAGTCGGTAGGTGCAAGGTCTGGTGAGTATGGTATAATATATAGAACATTTTGCTGAGATTATATGTATATTATAGAGCAAAAACTTCATTTCATTAAAAAATTAAACGTCAACAATAGTAAGGGAAAAAAAGTGTGTGCAATTCACACACGGCAGAAGTGAAAACTTCCGAAAACACATTTTTTTTATAATTACTTTTTTTTATCTTAGAAAAACCATACAAATTTTTTCCCGGCCCGGGCATCGAGCTCACTAACGCTTTTTAAATTCCACGCGAATGAAGTCGCGGGTACCAGCTAGTATTAAATAAAAAGACAAAAATATTCACACTGTCAAAATATATTAAAAATAATGTGTAATGTATTCTATCTCAATCTCTCGCCGTCTTAATCCTATACATTTACCTACGTTTTTTTTTCTTTATCGTGACGCGTTTTTGTTTCATCAAGATTCATTTATTCATCAAATATAAGCCTACAGTATATACAACCAAATCGCTTATATCTATACTAAATATAATACACAAGACAAAATATAGGATAACTTCGTTGTCCGTCTGTCTACCAGTCAACACTTTTAGCTACATAGCTATCAAGTTAAATTAACAACTTTAAGTCTGCGGGTCCTTGAGCTTTAAAATCATCAAACGTTTCTCCTGATTTTCGTTCAAGGCCACAATCTGCACACTATCGTCGTCGTCTCTGTATGTAGTTGGAGATTGGTTCATATTTTGTAAATTCCAAAAATTCTTTTAACGAATCATACGTGAAAATATGAAGAAATAGATACTCTACCGAGTACTGTCTCAGACTGTGTAAAATATTAAAGGCACAATAAATTTCTATACTCCACTACAACGACTGCCACACAATGGAATGTCAATAAGGTTACCAATTTATTTGCATATAACATGATTAACATGTTTCGCGCACGTTATCGTTGTGCAAATACATTGGCTTGGACAACCATACCAATTTACAACCGGCGGGTAGTATTCCTTATTTAGCATTAATTTCCTTATTTTTATTACCCTTATCTGTTTTTTTTTTACCTCAATTCAGCCTCTTCCTCTGTTCGGTCTGGAAAGGATTAAACTCCCAAGGAAGGTTGCCGAAACTCTTTGCTATGTTATAAATTGCGATGACCCCAAAAAAATAGAAATGGTAATGGAGCAGAAATAGGGAGGACTAAAGTAGTTTTAATTTTTGTTAGAGAATTTTTTATGATATAACTTATTAAGAGTCACAAATGCATTAACGCTTGGCGAGAAGGTTTAGGGCTGCAGTAACCTCAGACTCCTAACACTCAGTGAAAAGTATTACTTAACACCGGTAGTCTTTAAGGCCGTTTTAACACTCCGGTTTTTTTCCAGTTTGACTTCAAGTTTTGCTCAAAGTTCTGCTTTAATTATTATTTCCAATTCCAATTATAATACGAGTATTAGGGGTTAAAGTATGAAATAGCCGATTTGTACAAAAAAAAGCAACTCGTTTTTTTTCTAAGATGTAATGTAACATATTTATTTAATATAAGTATTTACCCTCATTATCAATAAATTGCTGCCATCTAAATGGAAGTTCATTTGTGCCCTTAGGATAGCACTCGGGGATCTAGATGCGTCAAACTGTTTGAAAGCATATTGTACTGACCCTTGGAAAAAAATTACCGATAGACAATAGTCCAAATCAAGAAAAAAATAATAGTCCGTTGAAGCAAGGTCTTGCGAGTACGGAGGATGACGTATGGTTTCTAACTGCAACTCCTGTTGGGTCACAACGGTTTCTCGTGCAGTGTGAGGTCTTGCGTTATCATGGAGCAATAATGGTGAAGATCGATTCACGAGTCGGGGCTGCTTCACTGCCAGTTTCGCCATAATTGTACAAAGTTCGGCACAGTAAACATCTGCTGTTATTGCCTGACCAGACCTGAGAAAGCTGCACTATAGCACTATAGCCTATTGGTGGTCTCTTCATAGTGTTATTCACTAATAACACTATGAAGAGACCACCAAACAGTTACCATTATCTTTTATTGGTAAGCTTTGCTGTAGGGCACTGATGCGGCGTTTGACGCTTACGGTTATCGTAAACAATCCACTTTTCGTCACATATCACAATTCGATCCAATATTCCTTCATTTTTGTACCGATTCAACAAGGTAACACAAGTTTCAACACGCATTTCTTTCTGCAGATCAGTCAAATCACGAGGCATCTATTTCTCATATTCTGCCGAGTTAGTTCCGCGTTGGAACTCATATTAAAAAGTGAATCGGATTTTCGAAATATCCATCTTTCACGTCCAAGTTGAATAAAAAACAATTGAAAGACGAAAATCGAATGTCGCACATTTAGAAAAAGAGAACCTCATAGGTATCATATGAAAAAAGTCAACCGAATTCAAAGTATCTATTACTACGCCACGGCAATTTCATACTTTAGCCCCTATTATCTATTCGTTCTCAATAAATGCGATATCCACAACTAGGCATATGTCAATTAAAGTAGGTAGATAAGCCAGTAGTTAACATAAAGAGTTTATATAAAACACCACCGACATCGTAAACAAATATTATTACCCATAT